TTAGAGACAGGTCTGGCCATCGACTCCCCAAAGTCAGGCAGTGTGAGCTCTGTGGATGACAGCAGTTTGATTCCTTTGTGCAGGAGACTGTCAAGCATCAAAGACCGAGTTGATGGCAGAGCTTACGTGACATGTGGTTCTGGAACACAGAGAGACAGTTGAACTCCCAAACGCCCCTAGTCCAGTGTGAATGAATTGGCATGTCTACATTCTCCGTCGAAACTCAAAGAGCTGAAAGTGCTGAAAGAACTGAGTACCCTCTTTCTGAATAGTAAGTTCTGTGCAATAGTCAAGGGTTTTCCCTCCATGGACAGAGGTCATGGGATCTAGGGCCATGAGTCTGGAAGACGATGGAATGATAAAAGAGAGCTCATGGCCAAGGTCTGGGGCCACAGTTACAAACTCAAATATCTACTGAGTCCAAAGGTTTGTTTTCCTAAAGATAATTAAAAATCTAAAATGTTCGAAGAAATCACACAATATTAAAAACATTCGTGCATGGTTTTAAGATTATGCAGATTGAAAAGTTCTATTTGTCCTGTGGTTGGTCACCCATTTGCTACTTATGGTCTGAAGTTTACAGAGATTTATCTATCTATCTATATACACATCTAGATGTAAAATGATTATGATGTAATAAACACAATGGACCAAGCACTTTCTAGACACTGAACTTGTTGCTGTTTGGTATCATTAAGTTGGTTCCAACCCCTGGTGACCATGGGGACAAACAAATGAAACACCCTGCAGTCCTGAGCCATCCTCACAAGAGTCAACTGTTGTAGCTACTGTGTCAATCGATCTCATGGAGCCTCTTTTTTTGTGGACCCGCCACGTTAGCAAGCATGCTGCCCTTCCCTTTTCTAAGGATGTGCTATCCACGTCTCTCCTGATAACAATTCCAAAATATGTGACACAATGTCTTGCCCACCTCCCAACAAGCATTCTGGCTCTACTTCTTCCAAACAGATTTGTTTGTTCTAAGCAAACTGGGAAAAAAAAAACCAAACTCACTGCCATTGACTCAATGATGACTCATAGTCACAGGGGCAATTCTACCCGGTCCTATAGGTCACTATAAGCAATTCCTGCAGTCCCCAGTACGTTTCCCAACACCATCAAACAAAGGCATCAAATCACCTATGGCCTTCCTTATTCGCTGTCCAGTTGATCCGTGCACACGTGAAAAGACCCCAGCTTGGGTCAGGCATACCTTAGTTCTTTAAGTGACAGTTTTGCTCTTTAAAAGCTGACAGAGGTCTTTTACAACAGATCTGTCCAGTGCAATATGTTATTTGAGTTCCTGACTGTTGCTACCATGAGTATTGATGATGGATCCAAGTAATCTAAAATCCTTGACAACTTCAATCTTTTCTCTGTTTATCATGATAAACAAGTGCTTTCTAAACACCAAATTCATGCTATCCTACATCCCCCTCACAGTTTTCACCATTAGATCATATTATTTACCCATTTCCTAGATATTAATATTATGCGATGCTACTGAGAGGGATTGAAATGCCCCAGTTACATCACTACTGAAGAGCCTTAACTCTTGGTCATTCAATGTGGAGAACATCCAACCTAGAGGCCAAAACCACATGTGCTTTTTTTCCCCTTCTTTAAATCGGTGTCCAACGCATGCTCCTTTGTAAATGGTTAAAACAGTGCTGCTTAGTGTGTGCTATGTGGAATGTCACTCTTCAATTTGTACCACCAGAGACTGGTCCCCCAAAGAATGTCTCTCATCTATAACTAGTCCTCGACATGGCAGGGAATGCTGTGCTTCTGAAATCCAAAGGATACACTGCATGGTTTTGAAACCGTGCAGTGGACACTTGGCGGCTATCTCTGGTTGCCAGGGATGGTATAGAATTTCATCTGGGAACTATGTGCCAAACGCGAGAAACCGAATTTGCCTAGCTTTTGAGTATGGGGCTCAGATGGAGTTTGAAATATCTTGATATTGGTGCGAAAACCTAGGTATGTTGGAGAGGACAGCTGGACGCCGTCTCTCTGGCCGTGGACAGGTTCCGGTCAGTGGGTGCTCAGGTGCCAGGGCCCAGCCGCCTGATAACATGGCAGGGTGATGAGAGGTGATGCCGGGTGGGCTCAGAGTCACAGCTTTACCCTGTGCAGAACGGAACCCTGACCGGGCCTGCGCCACCCTCACCATGGTTAGGTTTGAGCCCGTTGTTGCAGCCACTGTGCCAATCCAGCGCCCGGGCGGCCTTCCGCTTTGTCACCGACCTTCCATAGATGTTCCCCAAAGAGCACGGTGCTCCCGGGAGACTTTTCCCTTCCAATCGCACCTCACAGGACATTTTCCAGCAACGTCTTCACACCCACCCCTTAGGGGGAAAAGGTCCTTTGCTCTTTCTCTTACTCCGCCTCTCCTCTCACAAAGAATTTCCCGCAGGCTACAAATGCAGGTATTTGGACGTGTTCAGTTATTTGTGTGTGTGTGACATTCTAAGTTACTCCCCACTCCCACCCCACTGCACCCCCGTTTCATTCACCACCGTAGACCTACTTGCCCCGCATCCTGGTGTAGAACGGGAGCGCCGGGGACGGGACACAGGAGCTTCATGGCTTCAGGGAACGCATGCATGGTTTTGCTTGCCTTCTTTCTAAAGTTGTAGCACGCCGTAGCATTCACTTGAAAAAGGTCAAGACATCATCCACCGAAACGGGATGCTCTCCTTTGGGCAGAGTCAGACCCGACCATCTCTGAAGACTGAATTACCAACTCCGCCCAACCGACCCAAATGCCCGCTGCAAGGCCGAGCATGGCATGCTGCCAGCCCACTTATAGTGGGCACTGTTGTTGTTCTTGAGCTGGTTCCGACCCATAGGGACCCTGTGTCCAGAAGATGTTAACGCCGCCCAGTCCTGCACCAGCCTCACAATTGTGCTAATGCTTGAACCCATTGTGGCAGCCACGGTGTCAACCCATCTTACAACGGTCTTCCTCTTTTCATCGTCCCTCTCATGTACCAAGATCCACAAGACTTCCAACCCACTGGCCTGTGATCCTCCTGCATTCAGCATCATTGCATGTGTTTCATGAGTCTGAAGAGGACTCTATAGATTGGTATCCAACATATGGGCTAATATTGGACTTTTGGCTTGATCTGGACTGGGCTGGGATGTTTTCTCAATATTCAATTGGTTTTTCAAATAAACCTCTTTCTTATTCACATATGATTCTCTATGAATTTGTTTCCCTAGTCTACCCGGACTGACACAGGTAAGCCAATCTCTTGGAGACTCAGTTTGCTCACAGGTAAAATGGGTTTCATGGCACCTACTTCATAAAGGCGTGGGATGCAATAAACAAATGTAGGGACGGATGAATATAGCACACGCCCACACCAAGATGGCCCAGTCTATCACGTCGCTGTGGTTGGGTGCCATTGACTTGATGTTCTACTCAGAGCAAGCCCAGGTGAGGGAGCAGAACTGGTCCGTGGCTTTCCTAGTCTGTGATCTTTGTGGGAGCAGGTTGCCAGAACTACTGACCATTCTGTTAGCAGTCAAGCACGATGTAGCCATTTATACCACCAGGGCTCCGGTGGTGTATCAGAGCCTTAATAATAATGACAGTGATCATGGCTAGGATGCTGGCAGGTGCCCTGAGGAGAGATGGGTAGTGTAACTGGGCTGCGTGTGGACACAATACTCTTGAATGAGGCAGATTGAGGCTTGAGCTCAGCTCTGCTTTCTCCTGGAGGTGGGTTAGGGAAGTCGTTTAATAACTTCTCTCCACGCTTGATGGCTTATTCTTCCAGCAAGCCAGCAAGGTGGGTTTTCTGAGCCATGTTGGTAGAAGAGAAATTGAAATCCTAAGTGACAAACACGCATGCCTGCGTACATGAGTCCTTGATAAGTGGTAGCTGGGACCATTTCTACATGATCTGAAGCAAATCACTTAGTTCAGAGCACAAATAAGCAGCTCCATTATAGCCCCGAGAAAGGCGGGCTCAGGGGGCCTGTGGGAACCAGAGAAAGGGCACCTACAATTGCCCTGCAGGGTCAGTCACCGAGAGACCAGCTCGTTGTTCCTTACTACTGGCAATCTTTCCCTGAACCCCACTCTCCTTATCTCTGAGGAAGCTCTGACCAGGAACAGTCAGGCGGCGGCACGGTGACACTTCTCTTGCTCCTCAAGCAAGCATCTTTCCTCGCACGTCCCTCGGGCCCCCAGGCACGCTGGCCCCACATGATGGCAGTGATGATGAACTAGCCGATGGCAGAGCTCAAACACTGGAGCTGAGCTCAAACATCGCTCCTGCGGTTGCACTTGGGCCTCGTGAAAGTCAAGCGTACAAGGGGGCTTGGAAACTACTGGAACGATCTCACTGTCTTTTCATTACAATTGTCCGCGAGCTTTTGGGAAACAAAACAAAAACAGTGCGCTGTCATTGAGCCACCCTACGGGACAGAGGGGCGAACTGCCCTTTGTGAGGCTGACACTGTACCTCTTCAGAGGAGTAGAAAGCCCTGTCTGTCGTTCTACTGTGCAGGGGGTGGTGGTTTTGAACAGCTGACCCTGCAGCCAGCAGTCTGATGTGTAACCAGGGCTGCTAACTTTTGGGAGCCTCCTGACAGTTAAAACTCTCCTGGCACAGTGGTTGATGTGCTTGGCCGACCACTGAAAGGTCAGTGGCTCAACGCCACCAGCAGCTCTGTGTGAGAAAGATGTGGCGGTGGAGCCCCCCCAAAGACCCGATTCTACTCTGTCCTTTATGGCTGGCATGGTCCTATGAGCTGCAATCGCCTCCGTGGCAGTGAAGCCTGATGGTAGACGGTTGGCACCTCGATGGAAAAGACCCATCGCATCCCTCCCTTTTCCCTCCTCCCCTTCGCATCCCGAAATGCGGCCTGTTAGGAAGCAGAGGAGAACCGAAGGAAGGATGTTGTCTAAGCCAGCTCAAAGTTGAGTCAGCAGTAGCAGGTTCCCGGGAGGGACTGGACAGTGAACCGACAGAGGGGCTTACTTCAAAGACCAGCGTCTCGTTTGTGGGCCCAGGTGCATACAGGCGTTCCGGCCGGTTAGGGGGACGCTGGTACTCAAAGGTGGTCCCGGCAAAGGTGAACTCCCCAGGCCAGTCGATGCTCCAGCCGCCCATGAGGTAATACTTCTGGCCGAGGTTGCGAACCGCGAGGTAACAGGAGGAGAGCTGGAGCTCCTGGATCTCAATGCTCTGGGCCCCCGCAGGAATGGTGACCACCGGGTGGTACTCTGAAAGAACACAATCGGACACCTCTGGGTCCCACGTTGGGTGTTGGGGACCGGAGACGTGCGGTGGCCATTTCTCTGGGCTGCGACTTTAGGCATCACTGGCTGAGATCTAGCCCTACTTTAAGAACGGGAAAATGACCCAACATTTCTGTATCGGAGAGCAAACAGAGGCAGAAACATGTCCGTGGTATTCCCAGCGTCTGATCCAGGTGCACCGCCAGCCACGCGCGTCTCCTCTCCCGGCAAACAAAGGCCACAAGACCAGAGAACTTGATACAAGGCCCCCCATAGGGTGGGGTTCCTCTCTGAGCACTGGATCATAAGTCAGTTCTGAGATAAACATCAGAGACCTCGTTCCAACAAAAATGAAAAAGTTTTCATTATCACTGCCTGTTGTTATCAGTCTTTTAATGACTATGATATTTGTCTTTCAGGGCTGGCCCGAGAATGAGACCATCAGCAAATCACACCTTGCAGCGCCAGATCTGGGGCACACGGTAAGGACGAGGTGTGTAAAAACCCAGCAAACAAGACATCAGCAGGTCGTAAGTGTGGTCTGTCATAACCAGAATACGTCGTAAGTCAGGGACGACCTGTGGATGGATGAGGGGCCTTCAAGAAGCTCATGGAGATGTGTTATTAAAAGATAATGGAATGCTTACTTGAACTATCTGAAGCCCTCTTGTACCTATAGTTTGTGCGTCTGTTGAAACCTGTGTGTGCATGTAGCCGTGTGTGTGTGTGTGTGTGTGTGTGTGCGTGTGTGTGTACGTGTGTGTACGTGTGTGTACGTGTGTGTTCAATTTGCCAGATTCCATGTCATGCGTGTGGATCACTCGGCTTATCACAGCTCTATGCTAAACGAGTGCACATGGGCCATCTGACAGCCTACCCGGGAGAAGGCCGAATGGCACTTAGAAGGCATTTCTGAGATGCCAGGGATGTGAGAGCAGCCTTCCCACTGCAGCCCCCTTCCTCTGTCACCCTGGCTGGAGCACAAGAACCAGGTCTGCCTGCCTCCCCGCACCCTCGACCCCCGCCCCCTCCATCAGCAGCAGAGGAAGTGCCTCCTACCGGCCACAGAGAGGCCGTGCAGCATTTCTTACCGTTTGCATTGTGCTGGCTGAGGTACAGGCCTTTATAGAACTTGCACGTTGAATTGTCCCCTTTGCAAATACCACATGCATCCAAGACGGCCTTAGAGCCAAGTTCATGATCACATCCCACCGGCTACAGTTAAAGAAAAGGAGAAAAACAAAATGAGGACATCCAAGACCCACGGGCCAGAGAAGCCAGTGGCCAAGAAGAGCCAGCAACACATGGCTGCGCAGCTGCTCCGAGACGTGAAGCCTTGGTGCGTAAAACGAGGACCAGTTACCATGGCCCCAAAGGCAAGCGAACGAGCTCAGGGCTCCTCTGCCACTGCTCTGCTGTGCAGGGGGGCGGCCCTAACAGCACCTACCACCCCCACTGCAGACAGAGAAGGGGCAATGCAGGCAGGCAGAAACAAACACACACACGAACAGAAACGGTTCTTACTTCACAAATCCCGTCGATACACACATCGTTTTTGTGCGGGGAGCAAGGCGTCCCATCTTTCACCTTGCCGGACATGGCGAAAAAGAACTCGAAGTTCTCCGCTTTGCAGTAGAGCTTGCATCGGTCCTCCTCTGGAGGCAAAGGGAGTGAGAGAGGACACGGTCCAGGGAACATCAGGAGGGAGGCGGCCAGAGCCTCCGAAGAGCCACCCAACCAGGAAACTGAGCTCACTTGGAAAGCGATCACGACAGAAACGGAACATGCCGGGCAGAGTTTTGGGCGGCCATGTGTGTGGTTAAGTGTGCTGTTCCTAATGAGAGAAAACCAATTGGGCTAGCCATATAAAACTGCCCAGATATGAATGTTCTCATGTTTCCAATCCCTACAGTAGCCAGCACATACAGGGCAGGACTGCTGGATGATGTCAGTAGCCTACCGCTGGCACAGCTGGGGAAGCCCCAAGGTTAGTGGTTCAAACCCACCAGCTGCTCCGGCACTGTCAGGTAAACGTTGGCCTGCTAAATACGAAGCCAGTGGTTGAAACCCACCAGTCGCTCAGAGGGAGAAAGACGAGGCTGTCTGCTCCTGTAAAGATCTACGGTCTTGGAAACCCTACATAGGATGGCTATGAGTCGGAACTGACTGGACGGGAATGGGTTTGGTGTGGGTTGGTGATGAACGAAGACGCATGGCTATGACCCAGTCAAACTTGTTTTTGAATAGTCTGATTTGGCCTGCAGGCTTGACTGTGTTGACCCTGACTTAGTAAATGGATTACTTTATAGATCTTTCTGCAGGATGTTAAGGGAAAAAAAACCCGAAACACTTCTTAGCATTTTTGGGGGCGGGGAGGGGGAAGGCATATGCCCAATCATATGGAAAAACAAAATATATTTAAAGAAAGAGGAAGCAGAGGAACTGAATCTGCAGGCTGAAGAAGAAGAAAAGCCCTTTCTTGACCATGAAGTCACTGAGAAGGTTCTAGTATCGCAAGCAAAACGAGAATATAATGGCTTTATAGAAACAGCTCTTGTTATCAGAAAGGGGTTATTATGCCAATCCTCAGATAAACAGCATCCTTCCCGGCCAGGAATTCCAGATGCCAATTCTCACAGGAGACCTGACGTGGGCGACCCAGAATGATATCCCTGACAACAGCTTTACAACAAATGTGCCGACAGTCTCAAAGGAGGTGTGCTTCATCAAATCCTCCCCTAAAAGACAAAGGCAAGCCCTGGATGTGAAGAGGCTAATTAGTGAGAGCCCCCAGACGCAGGCCTATGGGTAGCATACATGTTTCTCTCTCACCTGGGGCCTTTTTTAAGAAGCTTGATTTGATGCCTTCTAATTGTTTGCTCTGACAGGCATTAGGCTGCTAGCCCCAAAGGTCAGCAGTTCAAACCCACCAGCAGCTCTGCAGAGGACAGACATTTTCCGTAACAATGACATTTCAGGTAACTATGGGGCTGGCTGTTGGACTCTGTCCTATTCTACGGCTAGGAGTAGAAGCAGACTCGATGGCAGTGGGCTCTCTCTTTTTTTGTTAATTATGTACTTGACTCTATAAAACCCAAAGCAAACTCACTGCCATCGAGTCGATTCTGACTCACGGAAGCCCCAACGGTCAGAGTGAAACTGGCCCTGTGTTCTTTAGAGACGATAACTCTTTACAGGAGTAGAAAATCTCATGTTTCCCACAAGGACCGGCTGGTGGTTTTGAACTGCTGACCTCACAGCTAGTAGTGTACCGTGTAACTACTACACCACCAGGGTTCCTTTTGGAGTCCATAAGTTGTACATAAAACATATACGGCCAAAATGTAGGTAAATGATCGAATGGGAAACCAATGCGCTGGGTAAACTTTCACTCTAAGCCCAATAAAATGTTACTTAAAAAGGAAAGAAAGAAAGGTCAATAAAGGACATAAGGTACCATATAGATAGAAAATACTAGACTAGATATGCATAACATACCGACTCAGTTCCTGGTAGGGTGCCTCTAGCGATGGCGAGCTGACTACTCGCAAATAGAACGTATCTCCATCTTACACCTTCTCATCATCTCCCTGCCACTGAGTTGATTCTGACCCACAGAGACTCTGATGACCGAGTAGAGTACCGCGTCTCCACCTTGGCCCAAACCACAACAAACCTCGCTCCCATTGAGTGGACGCTGACCTTCTAGGACAGGATGGAGCTGTCCCTGTGAGTTTCCAAGACTAGAGCTGTTTGTAGGAGTAGACAGCCCCATCTTTCTGCTGTGGAGGGGCTGGTGGTTTTCAACTTTGGGCCCTGAGGATTGTATCCCGACTCATAGCCACTACACCTACAGGGTTCCTACACATCTTGGACAGGTATGACTGTTCATGCAGTCACAGTGGTCAGTCCCTCAGGCGTGGTATGAAGTATGTACCAAGTGCTGTTCTCAGCTGCTGGGGACACAAGCATGCTCCGGGGGGACAAAGGTTTTTTCCTTGTGGATCCTGTATTCTGTGTGTCTGTGTGTGTGTGTGTGTGTGTGAGAGAGAGAGAGAGAGAGAAGGAGGGAGAGAGAGAGAGAAGTGGCTAACCCCATGTACACATGCATGCCTGGAACAGTAAGTGTTATGAAAGAATAAGGCTGTGAATAGGGGCCAGAGACTGGCACGAAGGGAGACTCTTCCAGATGGAGAGGACAAGGGAGGCCTTCTGAGGAGGCGATCTGGTTCAGAAGTTCTTCCCACTTCACTCGGTTCTATTTCAAATAAACCAAACATCTTATCTAGTCTCTCATGGAAGCCAGTGGAATAGTTTCTTTCCCACTTAGTGGGCACACACAGGGCCCTCCTGAGACTCAGTTTTCTGTTTTTGTTTAAATAGTTTATTAGGGGCTCATACGACTCTTATCACAACCCATACATTCATCAATTGTGCAAAGCACATTTGTACATTCATTGCCCTTATCATTCTCAAAACATTTGCTCTCCATTTAAGCCCTGGCATCAGGTCCTCATTTTTCCCAGTCCCTCCCCACTCCCTCTCCCTTATGAGCCCTTGATAGTTTATAAATTATTATTTTGTCATATCTTGCCCTGTCCGATGTCTCCCTTCACCCACTTTTCTGTTGTCTGTCCCCCAGGGAGGAGGTTACATATAGATCCTTGTAATCGGTTCCCTCTTTCCAACCCACTCTCCCTCTACGCTCCCAGTATCGCCACTCACACCACTGGTCCTGAAGGGATCATCTGCCCGGATTCCCTGTGTTTCCGGTTCCTATCTGTCCCAGTGTACATCCTCTGGTCTAGCCAGACTTGCAAGGTAGAATTTGGATCATGATAGTTGGAGGGGGGGGGCACTCAGTTTTCTGTCTGAACTTTGACGCCTGTCTGAACCCGTACTTTTGTGCCAACGGTCACCACGCAGTCCAGCGCCACCCCTGGCACAGTGTGGTCACTACTGAGGGCAGAGGAACAGTGTTGTCTCTAGACCTGGGGTCTCCACTGGTGATAACGCTGCTTCGATCGACGGTGCTGCCTCTCTGGTGCTTGCTGACACTGCCCCACTGCCCACGGAGTGCTTGCCTGAGAAGAACCCCCATGTCTGATTTCACAAGGGCGGCCAGTCGACTGAGTGTCCACCTGTCTTAGGGCCTCACACGGATCCTTTTTACAAGGGAGCAGAATGAAGGCTCAGAGGAACGGCCACCCACAGTCAATATCCTCAGGACAGAAGCTCAACCCGGACAGGGGCGGCGGATTCGCATTTGATACGCAGGGCACCGCATCTGCACATTACTGCTGAAACAGGCTCTTTGTGTCTTTTACCAAAAAGAAGCAAAACTCGTTTTAAAAAGTAAACCCAAGCCCCTGGTTTGAAGCTATCATAAGCAAGGAGAGCCTGGTGGCAGGTCCCCAGGTGTCAGAATAGAATTGGCTTCGGCATGGCTTTCAGGGGCTGGCTTTTTCCAGAAGTGGACTGCCAGGCCTTTGTTTGGAGGCAGCCTTGAGTAGAAGCCACCTCCAGCTCTTCAATGTGGGCCCCGGACGTCCACTGTCCATTCATACCACCCAGGGACTCCAAGCGCCTGAATCACTTCACAGAAGTCGGCTTCAGAACCAAACGGAGTGCTTGGGAGGGAGGAGTGTCAGAGATCCGTGCATACATCTGACCTGCACAGGTAAAACTGTCAGCGCATTCTCGCCTGTGGTGCAGGCTGGACCTGATCTGGCTTCCAAGTTCGTCTGTAATTTTGGTGGGTGTTGTTTGTTCTTAGCAGGGTGTATCTCAGAGGTGTTATGGCATTGGAGGTCACCCTCTTGAAGTTGTCTTATATGTTTTTCCAATTTTTTGGTATACGAAACACAGGAGACAGCGAGTAGATTCAGGGGTTCAGGGAGAGGGGGGTATAGTGGTGGGGTGGGGGTAAAAGGAGGTGATGTCAAGGAGTCCACGTGGAAAAAGAGTATCTGGAAACTGATTGCGGTAGCAATTGTACCTGATGGGATTGAACTATAGATGTGATTGAAGTATAGAATGATATAGGCATTAAATGCCGATTTGAAAAATAACCTAGTTTAGAAAAGTAAAACCACACTCACTGCCTTTGAGTTGACTCGGACGCAGCATAGGGACCCCGTGGTCCCCAACAGAACTGCTCATAGGCTTTCCTCTGTCAGTCTCTACATGGGAGCCCTGGTGGCCTCGTGGGTTAGCCGTGTGCTGCTAACTGATGAGTCACTAGTTGGAAACCACCCGCTTCCCTGCATGGGAAAGGTGAGTCTTTCTGCTCCCGTTGAGATGTCCAGCCTTAGAAACTCACAGGGGCAGTTCTACTGTCTGACAGGGTCACTAGGAACTGGTATCAACTCAGTAAGTTTTCAATCTGTATAAAAGCTGATGGCCTCATCTTTCTGCAGGGGAGTGGCAGGTGGGTTTGAACCTTGCTCAGACCTTGCAGTTAGCTGCTCAACGCTTCACCCACTGCAGCACCAGGGCTTACTTATGGTTTTCTTTGTGTGTGTGTGATACACATGTGTTTCTTTTACAAGTAGTTCTTTCTAGGCCTGCCATTGTCGGACATGTCCGTGCCTGAGCACTGGTATCGCTATGGGGCATATACGGTTTCATGGGTGTCACTCTGGACAATTAATGCTAATTGAAATGAATGTCCCTGGGAGGCAATGTTGCTGGAAATGTCAAAGGTAAGTCTAGACACACAGAACATTCCAAACACATGAATCCTCTGGTTTTGAGGTAGAAGATGAAAAGTTTCATGTGACAAACAGGCATGGGGATTAAACAAAACCCTGGGGGCTGGAGGAGAACCTGAGCCAGGACAGGTCCAGGGAAAGAAAGGCAAATGCTGAGGTTCTGCTACCAAGCCCACTGCCATCAAGGCCATGCAAACTCAAAGTGAGAGTGAGATTGCCCCATCTTTATGGGAGCCTCATCTTTCCCTTGTGAGGCCGCTGGTGGGTTTGAACCACCAACCTTGTGGTTAGCAGTCCGGAGCTTATCTGATAGTGCCACCAGGCCTCCACTCTAGATGTGGTGATTCTGTGGCGGTATTCTTTCCATGAGGATCCACAGAGGATCCCGGATACCGAGTTACCTTTCACTCTGGTGTACGGCTCCCACTGGTAGAACCAGCCTCGGAAAGGCTTGCTGTTATATTCTGCACACTGCTGGGCACGGAAATCCAGGCTGTTCTCAGGACAGGGGTGAATGCTGCACAGCTGGTAGATCCGGTTAGCACCTGGGCAGAACTTGCCACCATACTGAGGCCTGAAAAGGGAAGACCGAAGAAGAATTGGTGCTTTTGAGTGATGGTGCCAGCAAAGATTACTGAAAGTGCTATGTGCATGAATGGCCCAAACCATTCTGGAAGAAAGAACGGCCCAGTGCTCCTTCGAGGCAAGGATGGTGCGCTGTCATCTCACGTCCTCTGGGCCTGTTATCGGGAGAGACCAGTCCCTGGAGAAGGACTGCATGCTGGTCTCGTAGTGGGGCAGCCAAAGGGAAGGCGGCCTTTGACATGGACACAGTGGCGCTCACAATGAGCTCCAACAAAACACCTGTGAGGACGGTGCAGGACGGGCAGGGTTTCCTTCGGGAGTACACTGGAGGGTTATGGGTTGGAAATGACTTGACGGCATCTAACCACAACAGAGACAAAGTTAGTGCCCCCATGACGGGGTTCACTATTCTTTCCAGACATCAGTATGGGGAGGGGGAGCTGTGCAGATGAGCTTTGCCACAGTACATGCCGTGCTTGTGGATGGAAGCAGATATACCTGCCTTGTCCCTTATGGCATCGATTACAGATACAACTAAGGAAGACACACACACACACACACACACACACACACACACACACACTCTCATATGTAAGACCAAAACTGTTCTCAAGTCAATTCTGTCTCATACTAACCCTGTAAGGCTGTAACGCTTCTTTCCCCCATTTTAATAAATCATTTCATTGGGGGCTCTTACAGCTCTTATAACAATGCATACATCTATTGTATCAAGCACATTTGTACATATGTTACCATCATCATTTCCAAAACATTGGTATCAATGTTATCAGCTCTTTTTTCCCCTCCCTCCACCACCCTTCCACCTTCGTGAGTCCTTGATAATTACATATATATATATAGATATATAGATATATAGAAGACCATTTTATTGGGGAGTCCATACAATTGTATCAAGCATACTTGTACATATGTTGCCATCATTATTTTCTAAACATTTATTTTCTATTTGAGCCCTTGGTATCAGCTCCTCTTTTTACCTCCCGCCCTCTCGTGACCCCTTGATAAATTACTATTTTTTCATATCTTACACCGACCCCTGTCTCCCTTCACCCACAGTTTCTGTTGTTCACCCCCCTGGGTAGATTGGTGGGAGGCCAGGTTATGTGTCAATCCTGACATCGCTACTCTCATTCCTGTTCCTGGATTCTGTGAGCTTTTATTTTCATATTTCACACCATCCACTGTTTCCCATGTTTCTGTTGTTTGTCCCCCTGGGGGTGGAGGGGTATTGTACATTACATTGATTATTTCCATCAGTTCCCCGTCTCCCCACTTTCACCCTACCCTCATGGTATCACTGCTCCCAGTATGGGTCCGAGGGGTTTATCTGTCTTGGATTCTGGGAGTTGAGAGCTCTTTTCTATTCCAGTGTACCTGCCGTGGTCTAACCAGATTTGTAGGGTAGAACTGGGTTCATGATAGTGGGGGGAGGAAGCACTAAGGAACTAGAGGAATGCTGTATGTTTCATTGGTGCTACACAGCACCCTGGCTGGCTTGTCTCTTCCCTGTGACTCTTCTGTGAGGGGATGTCCAACTATCCACAGATGGGCTTTAGGTCTCCATTCTGAGCCCCCACGTTGGCATCAAAATAATTGTTTAGGGTTTTCTGATGCCTGATACCTGATCCCATCAACACTTTATGATCACACGGGTTGGTGTATTTCTTCCATGTGGGCTTTGTTGCTTTCCTACTAGACGACAGCTTGTCTAACTTCAAGTCTTTAAGACCCCAGGTCCTATATCTTGTGATGGCCAGGCACCATCCGCTTTCTTCACCACATTAGCTGATGCACCCATGTTGTCTTCAGCAACTGTGTTGGGAAGGTGAGCATCGCAGAATGAAGGCTGTAACTCTTGACAAGAGCAGAAAGCCTCCTCTTTCAACTACAGAGCCCCCGGCAGTTTTGAACTGCAGAGCTTGGGGTAGCAGCCAACCCATAATCCACTCTACTACCAGAGATATATGGATGGATGGATGGAAGTTCAACAAGGCCTCACAACTCTTCAAAACATAGCCTTGTGGTTATGTTGTTAGGTGCCATCGAATCTGTTGGGACTCAGAGAGACCCGGTGTGCAGCAGAACCAAGCAGTGCCCGGTCCCATGCCACCCTCACAGTGCTTCTTCTGCTTGAGCCGTAGGCAGTGGTAATCACTGCGCATGAATTTGGCTCAGCATGCTAGACTAAACGTATTGGCCATACCTGCTCCAACTTTTCAATTCTGGCCACGTCCTTAAGACTGTGACGCAGAAGCATATTCTTGGCACATGTGATACCACCTCATGCACTGGACAATCTGTAACTTCATCTGTATGTTATTAATGTGTGTGCCCCATGTATTCCAGCATCCTGGAACACCCCCCGCCCCCATAAACATGCGTGCCCTCTGTACTGGCTTCTAAAGCTCTTCCAAAGCTGTCCCAAACCATAGCTCCAGCCTTTCTTCCATTCCCTCCTCATCTTCTCCCCTTTGTCCTGCCTCTACTGCCAGCTAGACAGAGGGTCTGGTTCTGGGAAGAGCAGCAGAGGGCCTTGTTGGTCCAGGTGTTCCAGCCACCTGCCTATCAGGCACTGAGCTGATACTGTGAGGACTCTTGCCCCTCTATTCCATTGGTTATCAATGCCAAGGGAAAACCTTCATCTGCCAGACATTCTGTGGGAGCCCGGTGCTGGCGGTTTAATGCACAGGAGCTCCAGGGGAACCCGGCCTGGGCACCTGCTTCCTGAGCGATCCCAGTCAGGGAACCACCCAGGGCAGTTCTGCTCTGCCACTGGGGGCTGCTGGGAGTTGCAATGGGCTTGACAACACGCAGCAACCAACAATAGCCGCTCTGGCTCTGCAGGTGCCTGCTCCTTCTCTGCAACGCACGCTGGAAAACGCCTCTGCCGAACCCACGATCCCACCGAGCAGAGGGAACTACATCCTAGCGCCAAGCTCTTTCAGATCTTAGAGAGGCAAACCCCGATAGCAAAAAACAAAACAACAAACCAGAAAGCAAAATCAAGGGGGATGGGGGGCCGGGGGGATAAAAGGGCCCAGAACCCAGACTGACAATAGCCAGAGCATCATCTCATCACGTTCACATCACACACAACCGTGGCTTCTGCCCAGGCTGCCCTCCGGGATTTCCCCCAAAGGCCAGAAGCCCACTGCGGGCCATCTCCTACAAGAGCCCTGGGCCACTGTGAAGCCTGGCCAGAAGTGGCAGGTTAAGCCTTGAAGGCCCTTTGAGAAGCACACAAGTGCTGTCAGCCACTGCGGGGTTTGCCTCAGCCTAGTTTCTCTGGTGTTCCTGGACCGGGCACGGCAATGGATCCCACAGAAACAGGAAGTGCCTTAGAGCCAGAACCAGAACCAGATTGGGAGGCGATTTCAAAACATTCTGGAGCAGATCCGGAAACAGGCAGTAGCCGCTGTGCCAGATCGAGTCCCGGCAGAGTTCTTCAACCCCTACTTAGCGAGCATGTAGGGACCTTAAAGAGCACTCGCACCCCAGCGCAGGCAGCCTCCATGTTCCCGGTCGCCTCCAAGAGGCATATCTACAACTCCCTTCTCCACTGGGGCCTTTTCCGTCTGCGTTTCCACAGAGGACCTCATTTGGGCGAGCCGGGTCCCAGGACATTACCTTTTCACTGGAGAGAAACTCCCCGAGCCGACCACTCCCTTTGCAGAGAGAGGAGGGGAACGGTGAGAGATTTACAAACGCTGCGCAACCAGAGAAGGGCGCACAGCTGGGAAGCGAGCGGGCAGGGGTGAAACTGTGACCGCTGGACTCTGGTTCTCCGTCCACTTGGCCTGCCTTGACCCGAGCACTCAGATGGGGCGAGAGATACACAAGTGGCTAACTATACGCACCATGGCGAGGCGGCCTGGGACCAGGCGGTGTTTTCTTCTGTTGTCCACGGGGTGTCTCTGAGTGGGGATCGACTCAACGTCAAACAACAACCATCACTAGGGAAGAGCCAGCACGCATCAACTATTAAAAACGGGATTATCCTTATATATGAAGCACCCGCATTAGGTTGGTAATATACCGTACGGCTTTCACATATTCATGTTTCCGGCTTGTTTCAGTTTTCTTTTTCTTTGCGAGCCTATGACCAAACTCCTCCAATTAACGATTGCCAAGGTAAACAAAACTGCCTAAAGTTAAGCCGAGAAGAGGCAGAAAGAATATTTCCATCTGAGTCTTCCCCAACAGAAAAGGTCAACCCCTTACCCATTGTGGGACACACACACACACACAAGGCCTGAGATGAGATGCCTCTGTCTTTCTAAGTATGACTACAGATGGAGAAGATGCACAAGCATCACGGGTTACTCTGAGGGTCAGCCGGCCCGGAACATAACTGGTGGGAAAGCAAACGGGCCTGGATTTGACTCTGGGGCCAGGACTTCACTCCTGGTTCCATCTGCTAAGTCCCAGTAGAGGAAGCAGCAAAGCGAGTTAGAAATTCTTTCTCAGTCTTAGTTTGTAGGAATGTTCGAGTGCCTTAGCATGCCACTGTTCATTTTCCCAGAGTAAATAGGAATTTCACTAGACTCTCTTAAAGTACAATTTCATAGTCAAAAGAACTGGGAGGAAAAAATGGCAAGGACCAAGCCTGCGAGGCCCTGGGGTGATCCCATCAGCCCCAGCTGGGTGATCAGGACAGTGCACCTGCTCTGGCAGGGACTCAGTACCTCTCTATTGAAAGACCGGGACTGGACAACGGGTCCCACCCTAGATGCGAACAGATAACTGGACATGTGTTTGGGGAAGGCTCGAAGGCATCTGGAGTAGTTCTCGGTAGGACTGTGGTCAATTAAAGACTGCGTCTGCTCCGGACACGCAAAGAAGCATGGGTGTATTTGACGGTGGTGCTGGAGAAGCATATTCAAAGTAGCATAAACTGCTAAAAGGACAAACCCATCAGTTGGGGAAGAAGTACACCCAGAGTGCCCCTTAACGGCAAGGATGGAGAGA